TGATGAAGCCGAGCGCGAAACCCGCAGCCAGCCTGTAAGCTTCATCCCGCAAACTATCTGGTGGTTCTGATGGATCTGGAATCTCAACAAACTCGATCTCTGAAAGCATCACCTCGCTCATGCGACGGTGCTGTGTGTTGTAGTAGAGTAAACCAATGCCCATCAGGCCCGTGGTCTGGGTGTAGGGAGAGAGGTTTAGCTCGGCTGCTCCTTGTGGGAGCATTCTTGTGACATGCACCGATAGCAGTCTTGTAACCAGCGTATCCATGGTACCCATGAATGAGGCGGCCAAGCCCAACAATAAGCCGACCGAAGTCATGGTATGTTTGGGGGTAAGGTACTTGAAAGACAGCCACTTCGCAATCGTTCTCAGATGGCCATTTAGGCCAAGGCCAAGCAACAGTCCAGCGTGCTTATTCGTCAACTCTGAAGGTTTGTTGTACATGATCCATGACGTGTCGATGCCCTGGGCGTCTCGCGATATGCTGAGACCAGCTGCAGCACCAGCGTTAAAAAATGCCCAAAAGTACTTCTCCTCGGAGTAGTTTTGCCGTTCTGCAGTGACAACATTACCCATTGGCTTCATGAGACATGATGTCGAGAAGCCGTATAGCGGGTATTTCTCTGTCAGCAGAGGTTTCTTGCTGCTGAACTTGATCATGGAACTGCCTAACGGCAAAGAGAACGTGCGCACCATGACCCACTGCATAAGTGCTTTCTGTCCCTCGAGCATTGCTGCATCGTCTTGCCGGTTGTCAGCCTTATACTCTGCGACAGTCTGCCGCAGAGGCTCTAGCAGCGTGTATGCCTCCATGAACCGCCTATCTTCGCGGAAGATGAGTCGCGTGATGTAGTGCCGATCAACTTCAGATGTTGATTGGATTGCTTCCATTCGATCAGCGCCTTGACATATAGTGTGAACGTCTCGTGTTGTGCCAGCTGCATGCAGACCCCCGCCTGTTGTGGCCAAGTGGCTATCGTGGGCAAAGTCTGCAACTGGCGTGTGGCTAAGATCCAAGTCTTCGCGCTGGACGAGTCTGAGTAGTGAGCTCGACCATGTAGTAGGTGGACTCGCCTGACATCTGGTAATAGCTTCCATGAGTGGTGCTTTGGCGGCTTCCGGCAACGTGGCTAACAGCTCAGGGCTGATATTGCAGGTCCTGATCAGCTCTACAACCTTCTTAGGGCTCGATGCAGGATCTATGTCGCGGAAGAACCTGTGCAATGCTACAGTCCTGGGCGTTACCCCGGCTATGATCTCGTCGATGTTGATGGACGAGTGTGGAGAGGCTTTGGACTTCCGTATAAGCATCGCTAGTGTGGGGAATGGGGCATAATGCTGGGACCCTGTGACAGTGCTAATCCATTCCATGATTGAGGGAGGCGCATCCCATGGCTGTGCATGCAGCCGAACTTTGCTGATCAATGTGGTTTCGTCATATGCCCAATCCTGACTTGAACCCCCATCAAGATCGAAGAATCCACCCTGTCTCCAATCCCATGCTTCCCAACGAAGCCAGTACCCAATCTGTGCTAACACGGGTGCGAGATTCCCATGTTGCATATCAGAAAAATCTTGGCACAGGGTGTCAAGCTTGCGCTCTTCACGGAAGAGATGGAGCGACACCACAATTTCAGACAAAGACGATATGCGAAGATCCTGCTTCTCCGAGGGAGACATTCGTCTCCAATGGTCATTGGTGGCTTTGCCGATCGGTGACTGGACATATTGACGAGCAAGTTCGAGGCAAGTTGGTATCATGCCGTTTTTGATGCTGATCTGTTGAGCGATTGTTGGCAACTGGCGCTGCAGTGAGTCACGCTTGGCCGGCGGACTCATCGCCGTCGATGTCGGACTAGAGTGCAACGCCCAGGCCCAGGGAGAGGACCCCCAACTCTTGGCCTGCGGTGTCGACGTCTGGCGATTGCACATAAGACGCCATGCTGAGTCCTCGTCATCAATAAACTCGTCTGGCTTGGCTTGGCTTGCAGGACGCCCAGAACTTCTTCGCTGAGTTGACTTTGCACGAGTGACCGTCTTCCCCTTCTTCTCATCGATGAAGGGTACCGCGAGAGTGAGCAGAGTCGCTACGAAAGCTGTCCAATCAGCACTCACATGCTCCGCTCCCTCATCCGATAGCGATTTGCGAATGTTCCACCAAATCTCCAGTAGGAATTCGCCTGCATAGTTTGGTAGAACCGTTGAAAGCACTCGGAAGAGTTCAGCAACATAGCCATTCGAGGGTGACAGACGCAATACCATCCGATGGCGACGCAGCTCACCGTCATGTAGCTCTAATTTGCCGCTTTTCCCTAATGACGATAGCCCTCGTAACGGCTGACGCGGTTTTATGATTCGTCTTGACCCTACCGTTGCTCTGGTTTGATCGCGTTGTATGATGGCATACGGATCAAACATCTTCATGGAGTCCAAGGTGAGCTTCACCGGTAGGTGGCTACCCCAACCTGCAGTCAACGATATACAAGATTCCTGGGGATTTCTCGAATCGAGTTGCGCGATTCGCTCGACATGGCCATCACGGACTTTCACAAGATCCAGTGCGTTATCGAGCTGTCGCGAGCTGACAAATTTCGGTACGCAAGCATATCGAGGAGCCGCACTGGACGACCCCGATTGTGTCGCCGATGCGGATGGTGATAGTCTTCTTCGTGAGACTGCGAGCTCACATTCCAGTGGAAGTCGCAGTGACGGATGGGATATGTACAGGTACAGCTTTCTCTCATGAAGGGTTGCTGAATTGAAGGGTGCATTCAGCGTCAGTACCTTTGGCTCATGCCATTCCTACTCAAGCGTTAGTAACGTCATCTTTCTGGGAACGATGCTGACTTGCCTCAGTATTTGAAGGGTTCCCAAGGGCAAAGAGGCCACTTTTGAGGTATTGCGTGACTGGGAGCTCTGCGATGACGCTGATGATGAGCTCTTTGTGGAGTCCATCCCCAGGTTGTGGCCCTCCTTTACCATCAGGCGGTGCAAACAGATCATCAAGCTCGTCGTAGTCTTCTATAGTGTCGAACGTATCCTCGTCCATGACATCGTCCAGGGTGTCATCGATCGATACAGCACCTAAGCTCATTCGGGATGTAACGCTACCAGGTGTGGAAGCTCGATTCCGAGATTGTGAGAAGCCACCAAAACTTGTACGATCGTGACCTAGTGAGTGCCTACTTCGCTGACTTGCATTGAAGCTACCACCAATACTGGTGCGGGACGTTGCCATGTCCTGAAACGCGCTTCTGTCGAAGCTCGTTGAGAGTTCAGCCCGTGACAACAACGAGCTTACTCGCCTAGACTCCTTTGGCTGGCGGGTGATGTCGGAGTCGGGATTGAGCTGTGAGGCAAGAGCGTCGTCGACTGCTTGGTCAGAGAGACGTTCCTTGGTGATCTTGAAGGATGGGGGCTGAGTCTTGCTGCGTGGAGCACCACCAAAGCTTTCCCTCAATCTGTCAGCTCCACGAATTGCCGGCGTAGTTGCGCCTGTTCCCGGTGCAGTGCCGCCATATGAGCTACGGCGTCGAGACTTGGCTACTGGCAGAGGAATGTGCTGTTTGCGAGAACTTGATATTGATTTTGGCTCAAGATAGGCCGCAGACCAGATGGTAAATACATTAGTCTCGTGGTTTGCTGTGACTACTAGTAGAAGAGGCTTGTCATTACCACTGCGATCGAACAGAATCTCGTTCCGCGGAGACACGTAGATGATCTCCTCAGCTTTGTCAATTGCCTCGAGTCGCCGATGACCTGAGCCTTGGGAGGTCAAGAAGCTGCTGCGATCACCACCTGCAATAACGCTGACCACCAGTCCCAGCTCCGATAGCGGGTCTGTGAAGGAATATAACCTGGGTATCGACTCTGGATTTAGAGGCGCAATAGGATTGATCAAATCATCAAGAAACGTGTTTGCACCCGACAGGCGAGATTTACCATGTCGCGATGCGCCCATTGAAGAGCCATGCCGCCGGTGGGGTTTATGAAAGCTCTGTGAAAAGGAGAACTGTTGTGAGAGGAAAGACTGGTTGTTCGTGAGGAAGGAATTCTGTGGAGCCGACGGCAGCTGCGGACTGGTGGGCACAGGGTGCAAAGGAGCAAGCTTCCTCTGTAGCACAACACCGCGTGCTGCAGGAAAGGCCTTGTCCACCTCGAAGGGGAGGTTTACGATGTGTGTGGTGCCCGAGAGGAAGAAGACGTGTGCTTGCGACTTCAGGAAGACGACGAGAGCACGCGATAGCTTCTCCACCGTGGGCGTTGTGGGACTGGCTGGCGCAGTGGGATCGGTAGCAGGCTGGGTCCCTTGTGTGAGGAAGCTCTTTGCAGGGTCGGCAGGTTTGTGTTCTGACGAGTTGTCGGTAGGCTCGTGGGTGCCATAGGAGGGCTCGTCTACCAAGAACCATGTCAAGAGCGCCTGCTTGACCTTCTCTTTTTCAACTTCAAAGTTGAAGACCTTGCGTACAACACCACCTCGCGACCAGATCACGTGGTATTCGGTGGTGACGAGCTCGTCGGTGTAGCCATCGGGGCTGTCGTCGGTGTAGGTGTCCCAGACATAGTCGCGGTCGGTGCTATCGTCGGTCAGGATGGACTCTTGGACCAAATACTGCAGGGCGGAGGGCTTGTGGACCCCGATTGAGCGAAGGGAGGCCATGCGAAAGATTGGCCCGCAACATGAGGGAGGTTGGGGTAGCGGGTGTGCGTCGGGGTGAGAAGGGCGGTTTGTTTGCGCGGGGCGCGCGATCTGAGGTGACGCGCTGCGGTCGAGCGCGACTTCCCCAGGGAAATGTTGACAAACTCCGCAGCACCTCCGAGCTTCCTTCACCCTCACACATCACGTCGCGCCACTCGTGCACCTCTCATACTGCCAATACAACAATCAGACACCTTTCAGACGTTCTGAATATAGTTGCGCTTCAGGCAGAAGTCGCATCCTTCGCCCCTTCCTCGTTACCTAGGCGGTAGCTTCGCTCACCACCCTCGAGCTGCAAGCATGGAGCCCATTGTCACGACGCAAGGGAAGCTGACTCAGCTGAGGTATGTCCTCACCACGCTGCGCGTCACGCGACTGCTGACATAGCATCTTATAGGTACGAGCTTCCGCATCGCGTACACGACTCTACCGTATACCCCGTCAAAGCCCCCAATGGCTCGACCATCGTACTCTACGGCCACGAGACTGGCGTCGGCATTCTATGGAGAGGCGGACGGCCCTTGAAGAAGACTGCGCCGCCTCCCAAGCAGCCGGCGAAGCCAGCGAAAGTCAATGGAACAAGCAAGGATGCCATCATGATCATCGACTCGGACGATGACGAGCCTGCCAAAGCTGCCGCGGAGCCGCTGCCTAAGGCCGAGTTTGAGGATGAAGAAGAAGAGCTCGACCCAGACCAGCCGTATGCCTCGATCGTTCAGCAGCTGTCTCTGTCGCTCAGCACCCAAGTCCTCCACATCGCCGTACCCCAAATACCGAGCGCGTCTACCCTCCGACCCGCAGATACCATACCTCCCATATTCAGTCAAAACATCGTCTTCACTGTCGCATGCGCCGACTCGACCATCCGTGTCATTACGCTGCCTCTGAGCCCTCCTCCGCATGTCGCAAAAGACAAGCTATACAGCGCGAAGCCACAATTCGGCGAGAACGTTGTCAAGGTCCACGGTCACCAGAGCATTCCCATGGGTGTTACTATGACTTGGACCGCAAGGGGAGAACCAAGCTCTGCAGAAGATGGGGACGACGATGTGGATATGGACGAAGAGGAAGAAGACACAGCGAATTCTAGGCGCAAACCCCAATCGCGCGCCGACGGGGGCTTCGACATACTTGTGGCATCCCACTCCGCCGAATTGGGAGGTCTGCTCAAGCTGTTCCGTTTTGAGCTATCGGAGACGGCACTCCAGGTGTCCCATCCTGTCGCGCCTTACAAGACGCTGGCTCTCAGCAAGCCTGCCTCTCGTATCGCTTTCAACACCGCTCAATATCCGAAGCCTCGCCATTCGCAACTGCTCATTGCGGACTCAGCAGGTACTACGCGCATCTACGATCCTTTCACATTACCGACCCGTAAACGACGAGGAAGCGGTAGTCGCGCAGAGCCTGGAGCATTCATTGGGACCTTCAGGTCATCCTTCGAGAGCGTCAAGAATGTTGCGCTCACTCCTGCTGTTCTCCCATCGCGCAAAGCTATCATCGACGTAGCGTGGGCTTCCGATGGTCGTCATATAATAGCTCTCCTGGCAGATGGCGAGTGGGGCGTCTGGGATGTCGACCGGTCTGGTCCAAGTCCTCCAGCAGATCCATCGGCATTTTCTCTTCGGGGGTATGTTGGTACAGCCGAGAAAGAAGGAACCTCTGGCGGCGCATCGAGTCCAAAGCGCGGAAGCCGCAATTCACTCGCTCCAATGACACCGAATACACGAAAGCGGAAAGAGGAAACATTGTTCCAGGGCAGCGCGTCAAGTTCGACAGTAGCAACCAGAGGTGGCGTTTCTGTCGCGAGCATCACGTCGAACAACGGAGTATCGGCAGAGGACTCGGTCCTCATTTGGTACGGGTTCGAGATCCACAGGATAGCAGATCTGATGAAGTTCTGGACTCGCACTGCTTCCGCCAGCAGCGGAGGTTCCTTACCTGGCCCTGGTCTCCAACAACAAGATGTTGTACTTTGCGGCGAATCCATCACCTCGGTCTCACAGTTCGACACCACAGCCCAAGCCTCGCGCATGGCCGTTCCAAGAGACATTCTCATCTCAGCAGAGCACCGCCTCATCATCACCGCCAGCACCAGCCAGCCTCTTGGACGTGATCTAAACGCCATGTTCGCGCGCGAAAAGGTGGAAGACGAAACATCGACCCGAACAGACCAGGCTCTCCTCACTCGTGGCGAGCTTGATCTCGGTGGCATGGACAGGATGCTCGAAAGCATGGAAGGCAGCGGAACTAGTGCAGCCGTTTCCAAGAACCTGACCATGGGTGGGCCTCGGAAGGTTCTCTTCGCCTCGTCAGCGGCTTGATCACAAACGAAAGCGCAACGACCGATTTACCTTTGAATAAAAGAAAGTGCTCCGAATGCACGGGAAGCCGGTACTTGAATACGATATCCCCAAATCATCATTTCGATCATCATAGCCGCCATACAAGCGGTAAGCGGTTCCCAGTGCTCCCTAACATGTCCCTTTCCTCTCCTTCGTGTTCTCAAAAAGAAAGCCCAGATCCAAAACATGCTTTCGCGGCCCAAGGTGGAGCTCAGCGACCAGACCCATTCCTGCTGCTCAGTATAGCCTAGCGATACATCAACTACCGTACTGAACCCACAGTCGCCGACAATCGCCCCTTTTACCCCTAGTACCCCTCACAGGCGAACGGTTCCCGTAATGTAAAAGGTGTCTTTTGTCTGGATAGCTGTGGGCGGTGCGTGCATAAATCCTTCCCAATCTTTCACTCTGAGCTGCCTGTATATCTAGCCGGTCCTTATGGATGTCGGGTGAGGACGGTATGCGATTCTGTGGTGACGAGGCGCGTGGGTGCATGACGTGCGTGTCTGTCATGGACGCGTGTGGTGTAGTGCTTGCGTGTGGGGAAGGGCGTGCAACATCTCTTGACCTTTGTGATTATCGTGATGTCTGCAATGATGTTTGATTGGACATGTCATTCATCTTTCGCTTTCTTCGCGCGCGAAACTTTTTCATGCAAGATAAAACGTAATATTATCATTACCCAGACCGTGGCCTCCAACGCCATTGCTAAATAAAATTGATACAACGATGCATACCTACTCATTCTCGCGCGATAGCTGGCTTTCATGACCACGACCCTACGAAGCATCGTCCACTACTCTGCCAACAAACCCTTCCAGCCCAGCCATACCCTTTGCACCCCTCTCATTACCCCCGAAAAGCCCCGGCCCACCGCCAGGCATGACTAACACCTTGGCACCCATCTCCACGAATTCGCGCGAAGCGATGAATTGGAAGGTCACGATGACCGCTGGCGGCGCAGCTTCAGCTGCCGGCTTCTCCATCTCAACGTCAAAGCCGAACCCGAAAGCATCATCCTCGTCTCCGTGAGTCTTGAGCGTAGGGTCTTCCATACGTTCGGCAGCAACGGAAAGCACTTTCGATGAAGCTCTCACGCTCGCAATGTAAACGACAACTGCGCTGCCGACACTGAGGTTCCTAACGCTTTCTGCTTGCTTATCCTCAAATCGCACTGTGATGACTTTGTGCGCTTTGGGCTCGCGAGCCGCCAATACCATGCCTTTGCGTATCCTGTTTATCGATGGACTGACAATCGGTGTATCGACGGGTGCGAGGCCCATGGTCCCGACCTGCCCCGCATGAAGCTTTCGCACGGGTAGACGCAAATTGCGCATAGAGGTAATGCGGACGCGTCGCCATTGACTATGCCGATCGCGCAATGAGGCGTTCTTCGATTTCGTGTTCAGTGCGCCAGGAAAGGACCTCGACTGCGGAATAGATGGCTTGCGATTTGGTATTGCGCTACCGCTGTCGCTGTCGTCAGAGCTTACATCGACAGGGTAGGGTCCTAAGAGCAGCTCGTCGCCAACGGCCAGAGACCCGTAACGGAGGTAGCCCCCGATGATCGCTGATCGATCACTTGATGTATCCGTGCGGACGCTGTAGACATCTTCGATATAAAAGAGTGGCGAAACTGCTGCAGGTGCAGGTTGAGTGACTTCCTTGGGCATGGGCAGTTCTCGAAGGAATGCATGAAGCTTCCGGATTCCTGTGCCTTTGACGGCGCTAGTCAAAACAATCGGCACTGCCGCAAGTGGTGAGTCTGCAAGGAGACTTAGTGCATTGTCGATCTTAAGATCTCCTCCATCAACTGTGTGTAGATCGGCCTCTAGCACAGATGTAGCTGCATCACCGATGAGACAAGGCGTCCTCTTGTGCTCTTTCAATACCGAAAACAACTTGTTACAGGTGTTTCCCAAGCCGGTTCTGGTAGCCAAATCGAACTTCGTGATGACAATCACAAGCGGCAGTTCCAGAGCGAGGCATAACTGAAGGTGTGCATGAGACAGATCCAGATCTGCTGCTGCTGGGCCGAGTATTTCTTCAGCTGAAGGCGAAGCTCCGAGCTTGCCAGAGGACTCATCGGTGTTGTCAGCTGGAATGCACAGAAGTGTCCAATGTGGTTGCCTGGTGGGTAGGTTAGCAAAGTCCACCACATGATGAAAATAAGGCATCCCAAAAGAGTACATGTGGAAGAAGGAAGCGCTATGATATAGAGTGATCACTTACCAGCCGACGATTCCACGGACGGTGGTGCGTCTAAATCGCGGATGACCAGCTGAGTCAGAGAGGAACACAAGTCGGCCGGTTTTTGCTGACTCAACAGCCGCGTGAATGTCGATCCATGAGTCGATGTTCTCAGAGCCATAGCTAGTCACTCGTGATGAGCCTCCTACATCACGGTACCCTATCAACTCCTGGGTGACAGAGCTGGTCATCCCTGATGCGATCTCGTGTCTGTGTTTCAGAAGACTCAGGCGACTCTTTCCTCTGCCATTATCCAGCGTTGCGGTAGAGAGTGTGCCAAGTAGGCTAGATTTACCGGACATGGTGGCACCGGTCACTGATACACGCATCTGCTCGGTGACTCCCTCAGACTCGTTAGTCAGTGCCACAACGTTGCTAGCACCGGTGTCAGACGGCACGTCGGCTGCTTGCTGCCCGTTCCTCTTCGTGTGATCGACCAAGTGCTGTTCTGGGCGGACCAGAGCTTCGGCAACTAGCAATTGCGATTTTACAACCCTCTGTTTTGCGGTGCCGGAATCCTCTGTCCACTCGCAATCGCCTACAGGAACCCTGCGCATGACCTTGACTCCACAGCCCAAGCTTGCAGCCATGGCGCGCAAATTGTTCAGGCTCTCTTCCATCTCGTCTTCTGTCAAGCCAACAATAGTTCCGTCGTCCGCGACTCCAATCTCATAGAGCGCACCACTACTCTCCTCCAACCCCGGCAGCAGACGTTGAGGCATCTCGGGCCCTGACAGACGTGCATCGTCGGGAAAATGAGGTATGACAGGTGCCATGGATGATGACATGTGGTTTGGACATGACTGCTGTAGGCGCCACAGCAACTGAGTAGTCAGCTGCTCCAGACGATGCTGCTTTGACTGTGTAGATGCCAGTGGTGGAGGGGTATTAGCCAGGACGCCGGACTCTGATACGCTGCGACCCGCTGGTATAGGTATTTCAGGTCGACGCATGGACCCAGATATATGGCGTGCGGTACTGGAACGGGTGAACGACCGCCGTCGCCTGAGCAGAAGATGTAGCTTATACTCCGTAGGCCCATCTTGGGGCTCCGCCTCCAACCGTGTGATATGCGTATAATCTATATCGGTGGGGAGGGATGTTGCATTTGCGCTCGTCTCGTCATTAAGACCGCCGAGAGTCGAAGGGATTCGTCGGGGGTTCGTGGCTGGCACGGGGGAGTGCGCAACGCCGCCGATAGGCGTGATAGCCCACGGCGACGAAACGCGCGGAGGATCGGGGTCGAAGGTGAATATGGAGGCCATATTGCGTAGTAGAAGTTATGTGTCTTCGTGGTTCTATTCCTCGCGGGAAGGCGCGGTCGGGGTAAGACTGGTCAAGTTGCGTATTGCCGCGTTGCGCTGGTGAGTAAGCGTGGTATTGATCGTGAGTTGGTGTGTAAGAAGTGCGTCCGAAATAATTGCGATAATAAAGGAAGCATCGTGACGGGTGTGTAAGGCAAACGATGAGTAGAACTTCGTCAAGCAATGACTGGAGGCAACTCGTCGACGAGTTGCGTGAGGGTGCCGAGCTGGCGTTCAGAAATTAGAGAGAGACATGAGTGTTGGTAGCTATAGTGATGGTGATGCTCTGAGTGACGGGGAAGCTGCGGTGGCATGAGATGGTCGTCGACTGTTGGAAGTATGGAGGTCGCGACTGCCGTGTTAGTCATTGGTCGTCATTGGTCCTAGCTCTGCGGGGAGTCACCGGTCTGCGGAGCGGCCCTCATCCATCGCTCTCAGCCTCAACACGGATCGCCGCAACAGCAGACGCCCTTTTTCCTGGTGCGATTTACATATCGTATCCGTACTGACCTTGCATTAATCCAAAATCACTGTCGGCTCAAGGCACAGTACTCACTGGTAGGTATCAACACATTCGTTAGCCAACAGCATTAGAAACATCGTGTGGACTGCAGAATGCAAAACCATCTTGCCATACGATCATCTGTTGCGTGAATATCCATGCCTGCATTCAGCAGAGCAAAGTACGAATGTGCTGGTCACGTCTCCAGTCTCGTGGAGACTTTACAAGACTTGGTCCATATCTGCATTCCGCGTTGGTTCTGGAGGGCTTCTTCTATGTATGCTGTTCTGCCAGTTGCATATCAAGAACGATGTCTGGGATCATGTCACATCATAACATACACTGGTCTTATTGCTGACTGATTCCGGCACGGCACGCGTATTCGTATCTGAACGCCAGGCATCGACGGGCTTAGGGCGACGATCGGGTTCAGACACGAGAAGGGCGTAATGTTGGCGCAGGCTGGGTACCCAATAACCTTACCTACATGTGAGTAGGCCGGTAGCAATGACCAGCTCAGCGCATTGCCTACCAGACTAAGAAGGCGTTACGAGATTAATGATGATGCTGCAGTCGCCAGACAATGTGACACTCTAGCGACTTCGAATCGAAGCACAAAAGACACATGCCGACCAAACCCCAGTGCACGACGGCATCAGAACATCTCGGCGCAGGATTCCGCTAAAGCTCAGCCGGCGGTTGAGGCTGAAATGCTACGAAACAGACACCTAAACGTATATGGGACAATGATATGACCGTATGACAGGCTCGCGTCCACCATCATGAAAGGACTGCTGAAGACCCCTGTTACGGCTGTTGGCCGCCATGTGCGGTTAATCTATTCCCACGCACATGCCGCCGCCTCATTGAAACAGTCCTCCCATCTGGTGGACGGCTCTGACTTTAGCCGGCTTTCTCGAAGGTGACACTGCACGTTTCCCGCAGTAGTGGACACGCGAGCGCTACGAGCCAAACCATTGCCCTGGAGCCCCATGTGTAACCTTGACCATGCACGTCAGCCTTGCACATGCGAGGACCACATGGTTCGAAACTCCGGCTGTTCTCTCTGCGACGGCTCACCACGCGAAGGGGATGCGCGTCAGATGTTGGTGGTTGAGTGCTGCTGGGGATGGCATTCTGATGCTTTCTGTTCGTGTACAAGTTGCGAATGCCTCACTTCTGACAAGCGATGACATATCGCCGACTGCACTGTGGGTAGCCCGCCTAATGGTCATCAGTTGCGGCGCGGTGATCTAGAGGCGCGAGCGCGAGACCAGGTCGGATTCGGGTACGTTGCCGGGTCACTTGCGCGTCTCGATCACATCGTGGAGACGCTCACAGTGCGTGAAATTCCCACGGAAGATCTCTGGATGCACACATGGGCCACAATTTCGTCAAGATCGAACGATACGTACGCAGGTGAGATGTCTATCATTTCTTGGCCACACTGTGCTGCGTTCATCGACTCATGCAGGTGATCTAGAAGGTAGTTTTGCTGTGGGGTGGGGCGGTGTTATGGTCGCCTGAGGAAACATACGATTAGACGCTTTCAGATAGGCAAAGTGGACAAGGGAGGGCTGACGCCCGTCACTGTGCCGCCGGCACTGATGTCCTAGGTTGGTAAACACTCCGGTCATCAACCTCCTAGAGGCAGTTCTGCATCGTTGAGACTCCGTTTAACAAATTGGCGAGCGGTCCGATAGCTCGATCGTTCCAGCCGCGGGCAACACAGACGGCGGAGTGAAGTGATTGAAGCCGCGGCGTTACTTCAAGTCAGCCCGTTCGCCCTAGCGGGTCCTGCATGCCGGATCGTCCATTGCATTACCTTGTAGCTAGCCGCCTGTAGGGTGCTGAGATCTGAGCCAAACACAACGGTTTTCACGTGATGCCGAATGAATGTACTTCGTGCTCCCCTTGTCTCATCCTTGCTAAGTACACTGAGGGATCAAGTGACTGTCATCCTTCCCGCGCAGCCGCGCCCCGCCGGATCATCCTGGCGATTCTCCAAGCTCCATCCACACGTCAGCAAAAGACGTGTCGGGCACGCGCTTGGCTGTGGGGGCGAAGCATGATGGACCGCCGAGGACCCTTTCACGTCATTGTTCCCGGTGCTTGAATTGGACCGAAATCCCGCGTGGTTAGGTACAATCCCTCTCCAAAGCGGTAAGGGGCCAATGAGCAAGGGGTGGTTCCAGCGACTCGGTTCCGACTATACGCTAAGTCTGCCGGGTTTGCAAGGCCAAGCGACAGAGACATGACCTTGCAAATCGGATTTGGGCCACGAGTCTGTCCTAGAGTCGGATGCGTATCATTGTGTTGTGTGTCAGTGCGGGTCCCGCGCCGCAGAGGCAGGGCGAAACATGAATAATGATCTCTATACTCATTTTCCTGATCAGTAATACAGCGTTAGACGCGTTTCTGAGCTGCAGTGGCTGTCTTGGCAGCATGCACGTCGAAGCTTCAATCACACACACTTTGTGCGAGCGACCAGTAAGCCACCGAACGTGTGTTTGATTGCATATTGTACGTTAAAGCCGGAAATATCCACGTCACCGGTGTATCCCAGAGTGGCATATATGCATATGTACGTCTGTAACCCGGTGCTGAAAGCCCATTTACGCGGTTGTCGGTTTCCGAAACAAGGGACCATTCGCATGGCGGATTATTGTTCCGCTGCCCAGTGATGTCAACATGGAGATGAGGAGCGAATGGCCACCAGTATCGTAGCCGCTGTTGTACCGATGGCACGGTTCCTATGAGATACAATTGCCCGGACCACAGTCGTCCACTTGACAACCATTGTCGAATAGTGCGCTGCGCGTTAGTGGCGCCTCTCGGTAGCTTCGGTTCGTTGTTACATGGTTGGTCCTTCTCCACAGCGGTGGGTGCTTTTTACAAGGCTTTTCCCGCACTAAGTCGTGGCGACAACGGCCCGCTAGACTGATCGTTACTCAAAGTTGAGAAAAGCCGTGCGAGGTCAGTCGGCAGCCTGGCTCGCGTGTTTGTGGCTAATGCATGTGAAACCGGCTCGTGATAATTGGTGTGCATCGAGAAGGCATCGAATCGAATTCGGGTAGAGCATCAGTCATGGACATACGGCTCTGTTGTGAAATCAGTCGCAAGTCATGTTTAAGATTACAGTGCTGCAAACCTACTGGAACTACCATACGATCTGATGCTGAATGCTGAATCGTAGAGGTGCTCGGGAAAATTCCCTTCCCAGTCTAAGGTACGAGTTTTCGCACGATTTCGCGCGGCATTGCCGAAGCATGCCGTGCGGGACAGCGTCGGCCATGGTGCTCTGTTCGCTCTTGGACCCTGATAGGGAAGAGGTGCTGACCGATGATTTTGCGTGACCCGTGTGGTCGGATACATCGCAGGGAAAAGCTACAGGGGCACCCTCAACCAGCAGGAACTCCATGTTCCTGCTTTCCTCATTCCTCCAAATCCTCCCGCGATCCCTCGAACGGGTCGGTCAACGCCTTCTTTCGTAATCCAGTCTCATTGGTACGAAGGAGAAGGAGTCCGACGTTGGGTGTGAGGAAATGACATACGCGCTCTTTCAAATAGTTGAGATTGGGATGAGACCGTGTACAGAAGGCCATGTTGTAGCGATTTGGCCAAGTATACGAAGAGATGGTGGTCTTTGCGACCTTGAAGCTGTATATTCGTGGCTTCATTAAGAACAGGCGCTTGCTTGCAAACATTATATACATAGGAACTGATGACTGTTGAGCGATTCGCTGGAAGCCTGGTGCTCAAACACTAATGTCACGAAATGTGACGGAGCCGGGACTGTGTACAAGTCTAAAGCGTACGAGACAAGTCGTAGCTACGATTCCTGCGGCGTAAAAGTGTGCCCTTTGGAAGCTTCGGGTGTCCTGCGGGCCAAATTCCGATTTGGGAAGCGGCACACAATGGTATGGTCGCCAGCTGGCATGCTTCCACCTGTGCGTGTCGATGCTGCACGATATCGAGGCGAAGCCTAATGTCTTTAGCCAGACCGTGACACTTGGTGCTCGGGTATTACACTTAGTTCAACCAGCACCTTCTTTGGTTGTCCTTGAACTGGATAGTTCTAGATCGATCGAGCGATGAGATACAGGATTCATCTACCCACTCGTTTCAGACGCTCTTCTTGGCTTGCACTTATCGTGCGCCATGTGCCCGTTTCTTGCAGTAGTCCGCGTGAATTCGGCTCCACACCTAGGGCATGAGCTTTTCGAGGCGGTCCCTGACTTCTCTCGTTGATGTCGTAAAAGGTTACTGAACGTAGAGAACTGCCGTCCGTTACACCCATGCTCCCAGCATTGGGGCTTCGGTCTAGAGTTCACAACACGTGGCTGCATTGCACTGCCCTGCGTACTTGGAGATGAAGATAGCGCAGGTACTGGACCACCAGCCGGCGGGCCACTCTGCGAAGACTCGTACGATGGATACGCGGCAGGTGTCGTAGAACTTGGAGGGTACATAGTCGGCAGTGGGTGGTGATAATCGCTAGTACCATAAGTAGTTGGAGGGTACGGCTGTGGACTTTCTTCAATCAGTGGAAAGCTTTGCTAGGCGCTTAATTTGACTTACGGCGAGTAAGAGTTGCTTCCCATCGACTGGCTCGGAACACTATTGTGCGGGGCCGAATAGGAGTAGGAATGGGCCGTAGAAGACATCGGAGATGCATGTCCTCGCATCGAATCAACGGGCTGGTGCTGTTGGTAGGGGCTACGTGGAAGAGATGGATTCTGAGGCTGATAAGGCGGTAGAATGTTATGTTGATCGGATCGTCTTTGCTGGCTGTCATTGGGCAGCGGACTCGAAGCATAGGATGAGCTGTATGGATTTGACGCTGATGATCTTGGTTCTGCGTAAGACTGAAGAGGTGGGTAGCCCGACGAGTAAGACGTCTGTGGAGAGCCGTAGTGGCCCATTCCGTACTGCGAAGATGGCATCATGAAGCCCAAGGTGCTGTCGATATTAGAACAGGCTCAATTCTTGAGGGCTGATAGAGTGATATACCTCATATCTTGCAGTTCCAAGAACGAATCGTCCGACTGTCCGACGTCAACCGGCAGTTGTAGCTCGAGGTTGTGGTTACCAGAAACAGACGTTAATGGCGATGGGAAGAAGGTCAGCGCTCGGCTGGGCTGGCTGTGCGGAGTGCGCAGCGACTGTGGGCTAACGCTATGCGCAAGTCCTGGGTTGGAGTCTTGGAGTGGCTCGTGGTGTGCAGAATATGTTGTTTGCGCAAGAGACGAGTCGGGAGACGTATCTCGATGAGAGGTCAATAAATGGAAGGAGCTGTCAGGTGGAATGTCTTCGAGAACGTGTGAAGTATTCCAGGCTAGCGAAAGTGGGTGCGACCCGGGCGTCTGATAATCAATGGGATTGTGGCGGGGCGTTTGCAAGTTTGCGGCACGGTGGGAGCGAGCTCCTCTTATTTGTGGAATTTCTGGTGGCTGAACAGATAGGTTCTGGTCGGCACGGTCCCTAAGTCTTCGTGAGATGGTCGTCGTCTTGGGTTGATGTGGTTTGGGAGACCGATCGGTCATGTTCAATAATGGAAAGGCAACATTTGATGCGGAAGGTACCAGTGGGGTTGACGTACGTTTGCGTTCCTGAGTACGGCCCGTCGGGAGGAATTATACCAGCCTTATGGCGACTTGACTGCGAGGCAGAATCACGTATCAAACCTTGACATTTGATGGTCTGCGCCCTACATGGGGGAAACTGGACGCACAGGAACAGAGCATCTGAGCTTCATGATCCAACAGCAACAGAGCCGGCTTTGCGGCTGCGGACTGGTTGGAGCCTCGAAGGATCCGTATCCTGGTATCGAACCCAAGCCCTCCGACCGTTGACTAGCCACAGGACGTGCACCCGCGATGGGTGCCTGGCAGGTCTGGGCCGGGGTACCCACGCACCAGCGAGAATTGCGCGACTCTGTCTAGGATGGATGAAAGCAGGTATGCCTGTTAGTCTGCCGACGATGTCTTCGCCATAACCCCCACTACTTGTCCGGAAGCCAGCCCCTGTCAATTGGCGAGTGATGCCATCGCCGCAAGTAGTGTTGGCGAAGCCACGAATACTGGCGTGGATGGATGCCTCATTCACCAAGCAGAGGGTTGGTGGCGCTCACGATCCCGCGCCTGTGACGAGGAGCCATGCCGCGTTGAGTCTGGTATAAGGAATGACCTGTCAGATCCCTCTACGTTAGCCGCGGGTGGGTCGCAATAACGCACGATAGACAGAATGTGGGTGTTGTCGGGTAACATGCAGTCGAAAGAGGAGTGGCGTAAGCCCAGCTTCATCTCGAATATTACTGGCACTGCCACGAGAGCCACGAGAGTATGCTGTTCATGAACCCAAATCGCGTGTCATGCTCTGCCGGTGCACAGCTCATTGAGCGGTTCTAATTTTGGCTCGCTGCAGTGTTGCCCGAGCACGTGCTGGGCACTGCCTAAGCGGCCCGTTGTCTTTCGGAAGCGCTGCCGTTAATGTGAACGACGAGAATAAGGCGGCCTACGCTGTCGGAACTTCTGGAATCCATCTCGAAGCTCGAGAAGAAGTTGTGTGGCTTTCTGTACGCGAGTTCGAAGGAGTGTGACTGAAGCCAAGGTGGGATGCTGAGGTGTCCGCGCGTTTCGGAGGGGCACGCGGTGCCGCCGTTCACGGTAGACATCGCGGGCCCACATTACGAACAGCTCGACTCTTGATGTAGTTGTGGAGACTGGAGTTCGGCTCCTCAGAACTGCGGCCAAAGCAATGAATGCGAGCACAGCTACTGTCTGAAGGAAGTCGTAGCCGCTACTACGAGTGCCAAGGTTTCATTGATTGGTCGCAGCCATGCGTCGCTTCTCCAATTGCGACTCTACGCTTCCCTCCTGAACAGCCTCTCATTAAAAACACAAATCAGATCCCGTCCGTTCTCGACTTCGAAGCGGGTCAATTGTGCGTGGATCCACTGCGTCGGGGTCGACTTAAGCCGACTTCGTCCATCCGCGACCGCGCAAAAGATGCCTGCCGGCGCCGGCAGCGACCTTGGAACTGTTCGGCTTCATCCTAGCTCTGGCATCCATGCAGGCCCATCACCTCATTTGAGCGCTCGTACCACTGAACATTGGCCTCAATACACGAGATAGCCGCTTATGGAACGAAGACATTGCTGAGCCGCACCCTACTCGCCGACATCTTCGTTGTTGTTCGGCGTTAACACAACGGCGACCACATGACGGCGACCTGAGTCCTAACGCCCCGCCACCTGAGGCTCAGCCCTGGATGCAACTATATCAACGTATAACTTCTAGCCGCTGGCACGCCTAATGATCAGATGGTACGATGCACCTGCCATGGCACGGAGCGAATCTTGGATGTTCATGCGAAACCAGGATGATCTAGGATCGCCCTGGCCGGGCGCAGGGGCTGTAGTCTCCGCACTACCGTTATCGCACTACAATCACAGTTGTCACATTCCTCATACGATGCCTCCTACACCTAATGGGTCACACTATGTTCAACTTTGGAGATCATAGCTTCCCTACCATGGAGCCTATAGCGACCCATGGGGCGTCTTTAAGCGATGTGGATTCCTCGCAGGTTCGCAGCGCCAGTGACAAGTAACTTATTCACCCATACTTCTACAAGCGGGGGGGACCCGCCTGCACTCTTGAGTTGCTGGGATAGAACAGTCTACGCATTTGCAACAACTAGTAGTAGCAACACCTGGCGGATGTGTTGATGAACCGTTAACACAACAGTTGTATAGGTACCCACACAGACGTGTGACATGTCACTTTCATCATACTTCAACATGATCTTAGCAACGAACAGCTATCCTTCAGAAATTTCATTCAATTCCCAAAATTAGTCTATATCAGATCTCGCTTTCGCAAATGAGTACGTCAAATCACAGCCCTCTTAGGCCCACCGCACTGCGCTTCACTTCGGGCTGTCGGAAGCGTCCATCCGCCCCAGACCCCCAGAGCCTCAGGATAGGTACACGGTTTGCCCTACCGTCGAGCAAAAGCTCAGGCAGGTTTTGCGAACCAATGAATGCACGTGGACTACAACGACCAGTGTTTGCGACATGAGCGCCGGGCCCACAGGTACCCATACGGGAGGAAGTCAAGGGTGACGATACTTCGGTTACACCAGGGCCCTAAGGATGAAAAAGTGTGTGCCGCAGAACACGCCTAAGCAGGCGTGAGTGTTATGGGTAATCTTTGTGGCGATCACTATTGCAACGTCACAGATGGGGTGGGAGGGGCTACACCCAAACTGGTTTCCATCAAGAATACACGGATTTACTGCTGACTCGTTGCAACTGCGCTCTCCATCAACGGCAGAGATGACCGCGATATCGTACATCCAATCCTTTGTCATCAGCCCATCATGACGTGTTTCTGCCTTGGTGACACACCATCGAACATTCTTGTCGGACACTTTGTATTCATCTTGAATGAACAAGATCAGATTCCCTCGACTAGTGGCATCATGACGATACTTCGACGACTGATCGCTCACGCGAAAAACGTACACTGAAATTGGAACCCACGACACTCAATGCCTCAGCCGATATCTCTCATCGGATTTCACTGTGGAGCAGCGCAGTATGACGCTCGCAACAAGATAGAATCTGCATACCCACACTGCAATTGTCGATCGATGCTTGGATAATGTCATGCAAACCGTCAATCAGTCTAGATCTGAAGTGCACGGAATCGTCCGCGCAGATCGAACACATCAATGCGAGAGTCAACCCCGGTAGCAGATGCGTTGATCTTACCACCAGCTATGTCATGTCAACGCGTAGCCCACACTGGTGATGACACATAATATCCACTGGCTGATCAAGAAGTGAATGATGCTCTCAATGTACACCACCATCCCTCGTGAGCAGCGAATGCTGCTGCTTCGTCGCTCGCGGATCTGTAAAGGAGGTGGAAGTCGGAAGGAACGACCTTGCGTTTCATGTTCGTCGCTGCCAGAAGAAGCGAAATAAGGAGAGAACTACACGTTACTGCCCAGACTGGAAGGAACCGCCGAGGTAAGCAGATTAAGACCACGAATGCAGCCAATGCCTCGAAATGCAGAGTATGCCATGTCGTATCAATTTGCATTGTTACTCGCACAATGATAACGGCTTCCAAACGCAAATACTACTCTGCAGCAGGAATCGCATCCAACGCCCTCTTAAACGTCTCGACCAACTTGCTTGTCTCCTCCAACCCAACACTAAAACGAATCAAATCCGCTTCCACGCCCCATTTCGCACACCAATCCAACTCGCCATAATGCGCCAAAATGACATACGGCGAGCTGAGTGTAAAGTTTGTACCCAGACTAGGTCCTTTCACTGTATCGAGGTTGTCAAAGAAGGCGATGGCGTCGGCTTTTGTGTAGAAGGTGGCGGAGAGGAGGCCGCCGTAGCCACCGGACGGGTTGCGGCATTTCTCATAGAAGGGGCGCGTTGGTGAGGTTTTGGGGTAGTTTACTTGTTTGACTGGAGGTTGTGTTAGATGGGTGCTGGTTGAAAGAGATCAGGCGTGGAAAAGGTACGTACCGCGAGGGTGTGCGCTGAGTACGTCGCAGATGGCTTCAGCGTTGGTACCGATACGGTCGATTCTTGAGACGAAGTCACGGCTGTTGCGCTCGAGGAAGATGCTGTCTTCGGCCCAGTGGTTGTCTTCGTAGTCTTCTTCCCATGTGCGCTTGAGGAGGGCGTAGTTCTTTGCTTTGGGGTTGAGCACCAGTCTGTGTGGTTGGTGTTAGTAAGTGTCTTCGGGCATTGATTAGGACTGATGCTTACCCTCCACCCATGACATTACTGTCTCCGCTGAACACCTTGGTCAGACTACTGACAACAACGTCCGCATACTGTAGAACATTGACGTTGATGAAGTTGCCAATAGTCTCATCTACTACGACGCAAAAATCGTACTCGTCGGCTAGTTTGCGTATGCGCTCCAGATCCGGAGATCTGAGTAACGGGTTTCCGGGGAACTCGGTGAAGAGGGCGACAAATCTCTCGCCACCTTCTAGTCGTTGCTCGAGGTCATCTAGTTCTTCTGATGAACCGAAGCCGTAGAACTGCGAACCAGGTCCGAACTTTTCGGTAATTTTCAATGTGTCGATGTATGGGAAGCTGAGTATATTAGTGGGATGTGGAGGTGCGATCGACCAAACTTACCCGTAGACGATGGCCCTCTTTGAGCCCTTTGCTCTGAGTAGATTCCGGTGAGCGTTGAATATAGAGCTCATTCCGGTGGGATACAGATAGACGTCATCCTCAGAGAAGCCTGCTACCGGCCTCTTCCTTGCCGCGTCATGATCCAGGGTCATTGCTTCTGTCAAGCTGACGTCCGCGGTCAATGAACCTGCAATGCGCCTTCGAATGGCCAGCTTTGCGTTCTTGGTTTTTGAGAGATCCAAGTTGCGTCCGAATCTCTCCTCGACGAACTGCGAAGGATCTTGCACTTCTCCGTTGCCGTTGGTGGATGTGTCCGAAGCGCCGAGGTCAATCGACGTCTGCTTCTGATACCGTCTGGGACCCTTGCACACTCTTGCTGGCTGGTTGACAGTGGACGCTTCTACCAAGATGCCCTCCTTGAAGAGCTGAGAGCAGTACTCTGCTCTACGACTTGAGACACCATCTCCGGAGTGCTGCCAAAATGTCTTTGCGATGCTGAAGCGATCTTTTGGGAAGAGGACGGCTGATACTCTCGGTGAAATAATTTGCAATTCGTCAGAGCGAGCTCTTTCAGCTGCCGGTACGAAATCCAGAATCCGAACTTGCGACGCATCCAGTTCTGGTGCTTGTCGTAGGAAGAATTCTTGACACCTCGATGCCGTCGTGTTTGTGGGGAATAGCATGGCACTATCTCCCTCTTTGCCATGCTTGTCGACAATTGCAGCCGCAAAGGCTTGTATGATCTTATGTATGAAGAATCTTGTCGGGGTTAGTATACGTTTGCCATGTGCCTCGCCACACAGTACCTAGGATAGCCAGTCTTCATTTTGCTGATGACCCATTCTTCACCCTCTTCATATCCAACGTTTGCCCGCCATGTAGGCAGTGACACACTAACCGCCTGCCTCTTATCAGCCTATGATATGGGAGTCAGGAGTGAAGTTGGACGCACGTGCTCAGTTGCCGGCGGCAGACTCTCTCCGACTTCTACATCGTTTTCCAGGACCATGGGCGACATGTTGCAAGCACGACGGAGAAGAATGTGGTAAGGCAGGACTAGAGGATAGCGAAGACACCAGTAACGGGGCAGGTAAATGAGATGTAATGGCGCAATGACTCCCCAATTGCACCATGGCTTATTCCAAAAGCCGATTAGCTCCGACTTCGGCACTTGGGTAGGAAATTTAAGGTTATCGATAATGCAGCGTCACTTCCTCCGCGTCGCAGTGGCAGTCCGGAACGTCAGCGCATCCACATATGCACCCTCGACTGGGGCAGCTGAGCCCGTTCACGCTCGCACTGGCCCCACTTTGGCGTTGCTTTCTTCTGTAAGGGTTCAGCCTAGCTCTCGATAGCCAGACACCTGAGCACCGCGAGCACGACCATGGACAACCTCACCCCGTCCGACCTCTTCTCGCCCTCCAAAGCGCGTCAGCAGCGCGCACAAGCCCAGGACTGGGCGCACATCGACTCATGGCTGTCGTACAAGTATGCCGGGCGCACGGTGCCGACGTTTGAGCGCAACGAGGAGACGCTCAAGGTCCTCCGCGAGCTGTCCATGGCAAATGAGCGGGCGGATGAGGAGAGGACGGTCATGGAGCGCCTAGAGAGGGAGGCATTGAAGGAGCTGGACGAGGTATGAGAACTGCAGGTCCGCATCAGCTGCCGCGCACCGAGCACCCTGCTCACAACGGTAGGTCCCAAGGAATGAAGTCGACGAACGCATCCTGTCCAGGCTGCAAGCGAGCCTTGCCCCCGAAGGCGAGCAAGCGCTCGATGCACTCGCATCCACAGCTGTGGCTCTCAACCTACCGACCGCCAACCCCGAGAGCATCGCGCACGCTCTCATACAGCACACGACCGCGTCGCAGAACCTCACGAACCAGCTGCAGCACATCCACACGCTGCAAAGCTACCTAGACAAGCAGCAAGCCCTCCTTCGAACCCAGCTGCACGAGCTCCAAACCAATCCCGCCTTCGCAACGCCGTCCAACATCCAGCGCCAGACGACGGAGCAAACGCGTCAGGTTAAGCACCTACGCACCAAGATCCGCGAACACGAAGACAAGCTCTCGTCCCTCCAGTCGTCGCAATCGCGCAACATGACGCCAGGATCCAAGAATGTTGGATCTGCCGAGGCTATAACCGACATGTTGGAGCAGCAGAAGGCCCTCGATGAGCTGCGAGAACGAGTAGAAGGCTTGGAGAAGCAGGTCGCAGAATTTGGTGGCCTGCCTGCGGACAAAGAGGCGGCCAGGAAAGAGGTGGGTAAACTGGAGGTTAGGCTTGACGAATTACGGAGGAGACGGGATGAGTTATTCGAGGGGCTGGTAGGACAGTAGTGATACAAGACGGCTATAGAGACTACACTGCCCTTCGAATTCCATCTCCACCTACACCGGCGCATCCGTCAGCGGCACATACTGCACACCATACAACTTTTGCCGCTCGAGACTTCCGTCCTTGTTCTTATCGATGACATAGATATGCTGCGTCCCGCCTTCCGCGACCGGAACGAAGAGCCGGCCCGGAGCTTTCAGCTGATCGGTCAACGCCTTGTGGTGCACAGCTGCTGCAGCCCCAACATGAATAGCATCGTACGGCGCGCCCTCGGCCCATCCTTCTCGCCCATCACCAGTCACAAACTTGATTTGTCCCGACTCCAACATCTTCCGCCCCTCTTCTGACTTGCCCATATTCGCGTTCGCCATGTCGTTCAACGGCTGGATGTGGTCGATGCCAATAACCGTGCCGTTCGGCGCAACGAGGTTGGCAAGGACAGCTGTGAGGTAGCCCGAGCCAGAACCGACATCCAGGACTTTGGCCCCGGGTTCGAGATAGTCGAGGAGTGATTCGCACGCTGAAGCATGCATGTGTGGTGCGGAGATGGTGGCCTTGTGCCCTAGGGGTTGAGGAGAGTCATCGTACGGTTTGGCTGGGGCAAAGTGCGCGCGATCAACCTAGCGACTGTTATCATACATGAAGATGTTGGCTAATCGAACACTCGCAGCCCTACCCGTAACATGGCATCTTTGACACGGTCAGACCGGATCAGCTTGTTCTTTACAAGGTTGGTGATTAGAGCTTCGTTAGTCGCCCCAGAGCTTCGCCAAGCCATGCTGGAAGCTTTACTCTGTGCAGTTATAGATGAGGGCTTGGAGAAAAGGGAGGTCCGCGTAGGCGGATGAACTTAGTGGAGAGAGGCACTGTGAAGAGTAGTACCTGCGGACCAAGACGAATGGAAATGGTTTAGTCAGACAGTAGTATGCTCATACAAATCAAAGACCAGAACAAGGTTGAGCCTAACGCGATTATGTATGTCAAGAGCTCATGATGCATGCACAGCAAGTGCACCGGTGTACATGTGGCAAGCGCGCCCAGGTTACGAGCTCGTGGAGCTGTCAGTGAGGGGTGGGTGTGATGTAAACGCGCTAACTAATCCCTGCTTATCGATAAGCGTCCGCTCCCAAAAGTCCCAGAGAAATTTCGCGTCGCATGCGCTCACACCTCACGAACCACCACCATGGCACCTCCCGCGACGAAACGGAGAAAGCTCGAGCACAGCGACTCGGAGGACGGCAGTGAAGGGAGTTTTGCCGATTTCGACGGCGACAATGGTGGAGTCGCGCTGGACGAAAGCGATGCCGGGGATGCGCTCGATCACAGCGATGCCGAGATGGACAGCGCAGAAGAGCTCCAAGACAACGATGACGAGGATATGAGCGAGGAGGAAGGAAATGAGTTTGAGGAAGAAGAGGACGTCCATGAGAGCAGAAAGCAGACGACTGCCGGCAAAGCGACGAGCGCGTCCAAGCCGTCCAAGCCGCCCAAGAGACCTGCGCCGAGCCTGCAGGACGGCGTATACACCGCGGAATCCTTCAAGTCGAACATGTTCAAGCTTCAGCTAGACGAGCTGCTCGACCAGGTCAAGCTGAAGTACGGCAAGAAGGAAGCTCCCGCAGAGAACGCGATGCGCACCCTCAAGACCATCATCGAGCAGATACCCAGCCGCGAGCCATTGCCAGTATGTGAAGAGCGGATCGGATGGGGTCAACACAAGCTAATTAATCGTAGATTGCCGAAGCTGAGAAAGCGCTCAAGACAGCCGGTGTGGCTGTACCGTTCCCCAGTCCTCGCCCTCCTAAAGACGCCCTCTACAAGCTGCAGTACGAACGACCCGCGAGCATCAACGCGACCGGCAGCTACCCGCTCAAAACCGCGACTCGACACGAGGAGGGACTGTCGATTGATCTGGTTGTGACAATGCCGAGGAGTCTGTTCACAGACAAGGATTACCTGAATCACCGGTACTTTTACAAGCGCTCGTACTATCTGGCGTGCCTGGCTGCTGGCATCAAAGCTTCGAAGGAACATAAGTTTCAATTATCCTTCGATACTCTGAATGACAACCAGCTTCAGCCTATCCTGGTTGTACAACCGAGCGGAAACGGCGATGCGGACGACTTCTCGAGCTCCAAGTGCCAGATCAACATCCTGGCCGCGGTACCGGAGAACACCTTTCCGTCGAACAAACTGCTGCCCACCTCGAACTGCGTGCGACCAAGAGGCAGCGACGACGAAGCCTCTACCAAGACGCTCACTCCAACGCCATTCTACAACAACACCCTGCAATCGGATGCCAACGTCACAGCCTACCTTAAGCTTCTTCACGGCACCGCCTCGAGAGCTGATGCATTCAAGGACGCTTGTATACTTGGACGTGTTTGGCTGAAGCAGCGTGGCTTCGGTAGTCAGATCCGCAAAGGAGGTTTCGGAAACTTCGAATGGGCTGCGATCATGGCTATGCTACTGCAGCCAAACGCTGGCACCGGCGCACAATCTGTCTCTTCAGGATTCAGCAGTTACCAACTGTTCAAGTCGACGTTGCAGTTCTTGTCCCGAGGCGACCTCACGAAGAAACCGTTCATCTTCCAAGCCACCAACATCACCATCCCGAAGGCAGAGACCGCCCCTGTCGTGTTTGACGGCCCTCGTGGACAGAATGTCCTGTTCAAGATGACGCCATGGTCCTACACGCGCCTACGATCCGAAGCGAAAGCTACCGTGGACATGCTCAGTGACTCTGTTTTCGATCACTTCGACGCGGCGTTCATTCTGAAGACAGAGTTGTTGAAGTACCGTTACGATGCCACACTTGAGATACCTCTTGCATCGCTTGGACTCGAAAACGCCGGTGAGGAATACGACCAACGCGTCAGCGAGACTTGCAAGAAAGTACATAATAGTCTAACTCGCGCGCTTACGGACCGCATCTCGGCTTTGTCATTTACCATGCCCGAAGAAGAGTCGTGGTCGATATCCTCGCGACGTCCACAGGAGAAGCAAAGCAGAAGCATACTTGTCAACTTCGCCACTGATCCCGCCAATGCAACTCGTACTGTCGACCACGGTCCTTCTGCCGAGAACAAACAGGAAGCTGCAGCATTCCGAAAATTCTGGGGCGAGAAGGCGGAGCTCAGACGCTTCAAAGATGGCAGCATTCTTGAGAGTGTTGTCTGGGCTGTCAAAGACGCATCTGTTTCCGTGATCGAACAAATCGTACTCTACATCCTTGGCAAACACGTAGGTGAGAAGGTGGCGGAAGCAGCCAAGTTCTCGAGCGACTCGTTTGGACACCTCATCCCTGCTGGTCGCATGCAGGGACAATCTGGGACCGCGCCATTCTTGCCCATCATAAACGCTTTCAGTGCTATGGAGAAGGACATTCGAGATTTGGAAGAACTCCCACTTCGCCTTCGCCATTTGAGGGCTGCCGACGCACAGCTTCGATATGCGTCTATTGATGTTCCAGCTGCAGGGCATGCTCCCGCCTCTGTTGTATTGCAATTCGAGGGTTCTGGTCGCTGGCCGGACGATCTGTGCGCCACACAACGGACCAAGATCGCTTTCCTACTCAGACTAGCCGAGCTTCTATCAAAGCTTGAATCTGGCTACGTTGCTCGCGTGGGCATGGAAAACCCGTCACAACCAGCTCAAAATCAAGCGTTCCTCGATGTT